GTGGCAAAAGATATTCGCACAGCACAGTATATATTCATGTGCCTTTACCTCTTGAATTTGTTGGCTGTTCTTCGTTTGTACTACAAGTCAAATAAGGTGAATTGACTGCATTATTTTATGCATACTATCCTATCTGATTACTACCATCTGATTTTCCAGATCGCCCCATATGTTTTGGTATTTTTGCTGTTTCACTGGTTATCGAATTCATTCCCATTTTTGTTCTTCGCCTTTTCAATGATCCCATTGCCATGATGTTCTTCTATTTGGCGGTCAACTTTTTCATTTCTGAGAAATGGCTAGTAGGATGTCTTCTGTATAGGTGAGTGTAGTGGGCACCTGGTGCATTAGTTCATGTTTATTGTTTTACTTCAAGTTTTGCCGTTGGCATCAAGATGAATGTGTTGCTTTTTGCTCCGGCCCTATTTTTCATCCTCCTGCTGAATGTCGGCGTCTGGAAGACAGCTCTAAATCTCATATCTGCTGCTTGCTGACTGTGCGCAGGTATTGTTTGGCTTCTGTTCTTGCACATTTTCAAATGGCTTATATACTTTTGAGCTGAATAGCGTAAGGATAATTGGCCTTTTACTGGTTAACCTTACAAAACTATGTTTCTAAGCCTTCCCATCATGGATATCAGGTCCGTTTGGCGCCGAAGTGCCTTGGACCTTCGTCCCTCTAACCTTGCCTGTGGATGTGATCCGGCTTTTTTGACACGAGTAGCGCACTTCTTCTGAGCTTTAACTATTAGCTCTGGTGTCATATTTATATAATGTTACATCGCGATGTCCTGCTGTTGTGTGTGTGTGTGTGTGTGTGTGTGTGTGTGTGTGTGTGTGTGTGTGTGTGTGTGTGTGTGTGTGTGTGTGTGTGTGTGTGTGTGTGTGTGTGTGTGTGTGTGTGTGTGTGTGTGTGTGTGTGTGGTTGTGTGTGGTGGTGGGGTGTGTGTGTGTGTGTGCACTGTGTGTGTGTGTGTGTGTGTGTGTGTGTGTGTGTGTGTGTGTGTGTGTGTGTGTGTGTGTGTGTGTGTGTGTGTGTGTGTGTGTGTGTGTGTGTGTTGCTCCCTGTGTGCCCTGTGTGTGTGGCACTGTTGTGTGTGTGTTGTGTGATGGCTGATGTGGTGTGTGTGTGTGTGTGTGTGTGTGTGTGTGTGTGTGTGTGTGTGTGTGTGTGTGTGTGTGTGTGTGTGTGTGTGTGTGTGTGTGTGTGTGTGTGTGTGTGTGTGTGTGTGTGTGTGTGTGTGTGTGTGTGTGTGTGTGTGTGTGTGTGTGTGTGTGTGTGTGTGTGTGTGTGTGTGTGTGTGTGTGTGTGTGTGTGTGTGTGTGTGTGTGTGTGTGTGTGTGTGTGTGTGTGTGTGTGTGTGTGTGTGTGTGTGTGTGTGTGTGTGTGTGTGTGTGTGTGTGTGTGTGTGTGTGTGTGTGTGTGTGTGTGTGTGTGTGTGTGTGTGTGTGTGTGTGTGTGTGTGTGTGTGTGTGTGTGTCTGTCTGTCTGTCACGAAATTCATAGCACCTGAAGAAGAGCCTGGCGGGGTCGGGTCAGGGTGGGGATGGATAGTGCATGGGACAAAACCTAAATAGCACCCATGACCCATGGTAAGCCCCGCCCACAGTGGGCGGGGCGTGCGTCCAAAGTTAGCGATGTCACTGAAAAAGGTCATAACTCGATTCCAGAGCAGTCCCGTGATGAGGAAACAGTGCAGTGAAGTTAACAAAGGCCTGACCGACCAAACATAGGAGACACACCCGAAATGGGCGGGGCGGGCGTTCTTGAGATGGGCGGTGCTTCCCGTGTCACTGAAAAAAGCTATAACTCGGCTAAAAGGCAACCCGGAGATGGGAAAAAGTAGAATAAGGCTAGCATTGGGTTGGCGGAGCAAATAAAGGAAACACACCCGAAATGGGCGGGGCGTGCTTGAGATGGGCGGCGCTTTCCATAAAGATAGGTAACTCGGTTCCCGAACATGTTTAGAGGCCGCAGAAAACTCCATGACGAAGATGAACATCTGTCAAGAGTCCACCATGTTTGCGAAGTACTAAGGCCCGCCCACAGTGGGCGGGGCGTGCATTTGAACCCGAGGACCATTGTAAAAAACCGTAATTTGGTGCTAAAGCACTACAGATGGCGCAAAAAAAGTGGATTATGGCCCCCAACTGATCACATGCAGGAATGTGCGAGGCACTCCCGCTGTGGGCGGAGCGTGCCCCAAGGTGGGTGGAGCCAAACTTAAAAAATCGCAAAACGCTTCCAGAGCCCTCTAGACACCGGGAAAAAGTAGTTTAAGGTCATCGAGGGGTCATTGGTTGAGAAGCGCGGGGATACGTTTGTGGGCGGGGCGCGTGCCCCAAGGTGGGTGGAGCCAAATTTAAAAATTCGCAAAACGCTTCCAGAGCCCTCTAGACACCGGGAAAAAGTAGTTTAAGGTCATCGAGGGGTCATTGGTTGAGAAGCGCGGGGATACGTTGTGGGCGGAGCCTGCCCCAAGGTGGGTGGAGCCAAATTTTAAAAATTCGCAAAACGCTTCCAGAGCCCTCTAGACACCGGGAAAAAGTAGTTTAAGGTCATCGAGGGGTCATTGGTTGAGAAGCGCGAGACATTCGTTGTGGGCGGAGCCTGCCCCAAGGTGGGTGGGGCCAAGCTTAAAAAATTCGCAAAACGCTTCCAGAGCCCTCTAGACACCGGGAAAAAGTAGTTTAAGGTCATCGAGGGGTCATAAGTTGAGAAGCGCGAGACATTCGTTGTGGGCGGAGCCTGCCCCAAGGTGGGTGGAGCCAAATTTTAAAAAATTCGCAAAACGCTTCCAGAGCACTCCAGACACCGGGAAAAAGTAGTTTAAGGTCATCGAGGGGTCATAAGTTGAGAAGCGCGAGACATTCGTTGTGGGCGGAGCCTGCCCCAAGGTGGGTGGAGCCAAATTTTAAAAAATTCGCAAAACGCTTCCAGAGCACTCTAGACACCGGGAAAAAGTAGTTTAAGGTCATCGAGGGGTCATAAGTTGAGAAGCGCGAGACATTCGTTGTGGGCGGAGCCTGCCCCAAGGTGGGTGGAGCCAAACTTAAAAAATTCGCAAAACGCTTCCAGAGCTCTAGGCACACCGGAAAAGTAGTTTAAGCCGTCATCGAGGAATCATGTGAGCAAGCGCGAACATTCGTTGTGGCGGAGCCCTGCCGCCCCAAGATGGCAGTGCGAGCCAAACTTAAAAAATTCGCCAACAACGCTTCCAAGACCGCTCTAGACACCCGGGAAAAAAAAGTAGTTTTAAGGCCATCGAGGGGTCATAAGTTGAGAAGCGCGAGACAGTCGTTGTGGGCGGAGCCTGCCCCAATGTGGGTGGAGCCACGCTTCCAGAGCACTCCAGACACCGGGAAAAAGTAGTTTGAGGTCGGCGAGGGGCTACCAGTTGAGAAGCGCGAAGCATATGTTGTGGGCGGGGCGTCCCCGAGGTGGGTGGAGGCAAGCTTAAAATTTCACAAAACGGTTCTAGAGCACTCCAGACACCGGGAAAAAGTAGTTTAAGGTCATCGAGGGGTCATAAGTTGAGAAGCGCGAGACATTCGTTGTGGGCGGAGCCTGCCCCAAGGTGGGTGGAGCCAAACTTAAAAAATTCGCAAAACGCTTCCAGAGCCCTCTAGACACCGGGAAAAAGTAGTTTAAGGTCATCGAGGGTCATAAGTTGAGAAGCGCGAGACATTCGTTGTGGGCGGAGCCTGCCCAAGGTGGGTGGAGCCAAATTTTAAAAAATTCGCAAAACGCTTCCAGAGCACTCCAGACACCGGGAAAAAGTAGTTTAAGGTCATCGAGGGGTCATAAGTTGAGAAGCGCGAGACATTCGTTGTGGGCGGAGCCTGCCCCAAGGTGGGTGGAGCCAAACTTAAAAAATTCGCAAAACGCTTCCAGACCCTCTAGACACCGGGAAAAAGTAGTTTAAGGTCATCGAGGGGTCATTGGTTGAGAAGCGCGAGACATTCGTTGTGGGCGGAGCCTGCCCCAAGGTGGGTGGAGCCAAACTTAAAAAATTCGCAAAACGCTTCCAGAGCCCTCTAGACACCGGGAAAAAGTAGTTTAAGGTCATCGAGGGGTCATAAGTTGAGAAGCGCGAGACATTCGTTGTGGGCGGAGCCTGCCCCAAGGTGGGTGGAGCCACGCTTCCAGAGCACTCCAGACACCGGGAAAAAGTAGTTTGAGGTCGGCGAGGGGCTACCAGTTGAGAAGCGCGAAGCACATGTTGTGGGCGGGGCGTCCCCGAGGTGGGTGGAGGCAAGCTTAAAATTTCACAAAACGGTTCTAGAGCACTCCAGACACCGGGAAAAAGTAGTTTAAGGTCATCGAGGGGTCATAAGTTGAGAAGCGCGAGACATTCGTTGTGGGCGGAGCCTGCCCCAAGGTGGGTGGAGCCAAACTTAAAAAAATCGCAAAACGCTTCCAGAGCCCTCTAGACACCGGGAAAAAGTAGTCTAAGGTCATCGAGGGGTCATTGGTTGAGAAGCGCGGGGATACGTTGTGGGCGGGGCGTGCCCCAAGGTGGGTGGAGCCAAATTTTGAAAATTCGCAAAACGCTTCCAGAGCCCTCTAGACACCGGGAAAAAGTAGTTTAAGGTCATCGAGGGGTCATTGGTTGAGAAGCGCGGGGCATACGTTGTGGGCGGAGCCTGCCCCAAGGTGGGTGGAGCCAAATTTTAAAAATTCGCAAAACGCTTCCAGAGCCCTCTAGACACCGGGAAAAAAGTAGTTTAAGGTCATCGAGGGGTCATTGGTTGAGAAGCGCGAGACATTCGTTGTGGGCGGAGCCTGCCCCAAGGTGGGTGGAGCCAAACTTAAAAAATTCGCAAAACGCTTCCAGAGCCCTCTAGACACCGGGAAAAAGTAGTTTAAGGTCATCGAGGGGTCATAAGTTGAGAAGCGCGAGACATTCGTTGTGTGGGCGGAGCCTGCCCCAAGGTGGGTGGAGCCAAATTTAAAAAATTCGCAAAACGCTTCCAGAGCACTCTAGACACCGGGAAAAAGTAGTTTAAGGTCATCGAGGGGTCATAAGTTGAGAAGCGCGAGACATTCGTTGTGGGCGGAGCCTGCCCCAAGGTGGGTGGAGCCAAACTTAAAAAATTCGCAAAACGCTTCCAGAGCCCTCTAGACACCGGGAAAAAGTAGTTTAAGGTCATCGAGGGGTCATAAGTTGAGAAGCGCGAGACATTCGTTGTGGGCGGAGCCTGCCCCAAGGTGGGTGGAGCCAAACTTAAAAAATTCGCAAAACGCTTCCAGACACCTCTAGACACGGGAAAAAAAGTAGTAAGGTCATCGAGGGGTCATAAGTTGAGAAGCGCGAGACATTCGTTGTGGGCGGAGCCTGCCCCAAGGTGGGTGGAGCCAAATTTAAAAAATTCGCAAAACGCTTCCAGAGCACTCCAGACACCGGGAAAAAGTAGTTTAAGGCCATCGAGGGGTCATAAGTTGAGAAGCGCGAGACATTCGTTGTGGGCGGAGCCTGCCCCAAGGTGGGTGG